CGAATGTATTCATCAGTCAATAAAGGTTCGTTGAGTCAATGAATGCATTTATTGGCTTAGAGAAACCCTTATATCAGTTAATAAATGAATTCATTGTCCTGACGTACAATTGGTCGTAATATCAATCAAAATATTTCTTTAAACCAATGTAAACGTTCATTTATTTATCAAACTGATTCATTGATATAACGAATGCATTCATTGATTAATGCCCAGTATTCATTAATCTAACGAATTTTGTTTATCAATTTACGTAAACGCGCTTGATGTACTATGTTTATTGGCCCAATGAACAGGATTCATTGGGTCAGTAAAAAAAGTTACTGACTTCGTAGGAAAAAAGTAATGACCCTGTTAATCATCCAAGAACCCCTAATAATTGACTTAACATTCATTGTGCTAATAAATAAATTTCGATAAATAGTGTTTATTGATATTACGAACAAAATTATTTTCAGTGTAATTTAAGGGTATTTCAACTGTATTGTGATAGATTTAGTTATTTTAACGTAATTACACTCATTTGAAGTTGATATATCAGTTTTCGTCACTATAATGCTACTTGAGTGATACTAATGTATAGCCTGAATTTCATACTTTTTGTTTGATTGGTGAGAAATAAAATGTGCATATAATATTTTTAAACAATTTTATTATATCCTATTATATATAGAATATAAAAATACAAAATGGACTAAATAAATACTCTTAGGCTGTGGTCAGAGCACCGTGATCGGCCGAAAGTTAATACTGTCGCATACGGCCGATGCCGAACGATTCTGACAACATCTTTAAAACAGTTAACAAAAATACTACCTGTTGATGCTGATAAAAGATCATTAATTGCTCCTGCTTATCTCGTAACTCTGTAATTTTTTGATGACTGCAAATCTCTCTCCTAATTTAGAAATAAGTCGAGGACTAGCAGCACTTCAAGCGTAATGGCTTCTTCTAAATAATAACAAAGAGTCACCTATCTCAAATGTACCTTTCCCACAGTAAACTACTTAATATTTAACTTTTATATTATTTGGTATCTATAAAATATGAGTATAGGTTCCTACCAAATAATTGAAATTAATTTACATGAGGTCTAAACACTTACCTTAGAATTTGGGAATAGACCTAAACCCTCCAGTAGCTCCTTACATGACATTTTTTCTCTACCATAAACACAAAAAACTGTTCTATGAAACCGACAAAACGTACAAAGTATCTGCATGGAGGCCAGCGTTGCCAACCGTACGATAATTATCGTATGTGTACGATATTTCAGCCCTCTGTACGATGTACGATCACATACTTAGTATCGTACGCTTTTGTACGATAATTTAAACATTGTACGATTTTTTGTACGATAAAACGTAATAATAGGAAGGTACCTTAAAACGGTAAGCATTTATGAAAATAAAAGCACAAAATTGGCGATTTTACCACTTTCGTATTTTGCGGCTTAATTTTATTTTAACTGGCGCAAATTTAGCCCCGCCCCCTTTCTTTCTTAAAATGAACTTTAGGCTAAAGCACAGAAGTTCTTCTGTGGCTAAAGTCTTTAGCTAAAGGCCAAATTTTGAAGAAGAGGAAGAAGAAGAACTCGAAAAAAATGTACGATAATTTTATTTAGAAAACGATAATTTTTTGGGTGTTGGTACGATAAATTACGCTTCAGTGGTTGGCAACGCTGATGGAGGCTCTCGTACCAATGCCGCCATACCAACTTAATAAACTTGTTGTTATACACAGAGAAAAGTAATCTCTTGATTTTACTATATCTGTCTTGACTCAAATAAATTATTTATTTCGATATGATACAAGAAGATATTTATTTAGTGGAAAACTTGGGTTTATTTGACTTTTTAAACTGATGGTTTGTTTAATACAAGTAAATATTTAGTTGACTTTTTATCTCAGGTTTAATAGAATCTTACTTAAAGAAACAAAACATTTACTTGAAGTAAGTAATTCATTTTTTTAAATTAAATTTGAAGCTTTCTTAAAGAAACAAAATATTTACTTACATGAAGAAAACAATTTATTTCAGACAAATAATTAGTACCTTTTAATATTATAATTTCACGAAATATATAGTGATTAAACCAAACAAATGTTTGCTTGTTTTAATACTATGATTTATTTATTTTAATGTTGTTAATTACTTGATATTTGGTCGGGAAAATTAAATTAAAAAACGTTTATTCCAATATTTTTTATTTGAACAAAACAAGTGTACACTTGTTTTGTTGTAAATACGTACCCATTTACAATAAACATTAAAAACACACAATATAAAATTAACAATAAACAAAACATATAATATATGAGCGGACAAAAATAGGAACAAAAAATACTTCAGTCACTGAAGTTCAGTGTAAATATTAGTGCACGGCATTAATAAAATACACCAAGCCTGTGGGTAAAAGTCATAAGAGGATAAGTCAAAACAAGCAATTTTTCAGCAGAACCTTAAACGTGTTCGCATTAATTCAGGAAATATATTTATGGGACATTTGAACATTTTCAAAAACTTAATTTATTATTATCAGATAGGTATCTTTGTTGAAAACACTAGGTAGGTACCTATAGTTTAAAAACATTTGTTAAATACAAAAAGAAACGGTTTATTTTTAGTTTATGGCCTGTAAGTAAAATGTGCAACTATATTTAAAAGTAACAAGTCAAGTCTGAGACATGCATGATCCAAAATAAAATAGGTACCCATATTATCATATAACTTTGTAGTTTCCAAACTACCTAGGTACACAAAATTTTAATTAACTAAATCACTTTTACTTACCAACAAAACTAAAAAGCAAATGGGTTAAATTATTTTCTTTGAGGAATTCTTCCATACTATTAATCATAAGCACTTAATCACAAAACTATAACCGTTGATTAAACACCTCCTTCTCTTAAGTTGAGAGTCTTAACGCTTTGCCAAGGACGCTCTGCGAGTTTGTTTGCAAATGCTGCCGGCAGCCGGACAAGCGTCTTTGTCTTTGGAGTCAAATGCTCTAATTGGCTCCGCGAGTCACGTGGACATAAAAGCAAATAAATATGTATTTGCTTCAAGTAAATGTATTTTTGAAACAAACAAATCACGTGTTTACGTTAATTATATGACATACATTGTATCAATTCTATTATTTTGTTAAAATAAGATATTATATGCTTGTATTAACATTTGATAAAACTAAATCCATACAACCTATATCCAAACAATTTAATTAATTGCTCTAAATAAATATTTCTTTACAATTAATCACAACAATAAGTTGTTTTCAAGAAACTCATGATTTACAACCAAATAATAGTATTTTCTTATTGTAAACAAGAAGTTACTACGAATAAGACAATTTTACTTCATACAAGAAAAACTGTTTCAAATAAATGCATTTTCTTAAATCAAGAGATTACACTGAAAAAAGTCAGTATTAATTTTTAAGTTGTAGGTGAATTTGAGGCCAACCTTTTATTATTTAAAACACTGTCTATAAAAGTTAAGAACCGTAATTAATTTAATGAAACATTCAATATTATTATAATAAGTGTTTCCTAGCATTTAACTCGTAGAGCATTTGGGTACATGAATTTAATGTAACCCTGCGTGTCTTCATTATTAAGACAATTTTCTTTAGGGTAAATATATAAACATTTATTTTATATTGGAAGTACTTGTTTCTTTATTGTTATGAATTCAGGGATTTTATTAAATAATCAAGCTATTATTGTTATAGGTTATATAGGGATAAAACTATAATGCACAATGAATTTATTTTAACGTTAGTATTCGTTGTTTACATTCCTTGCAAGCATCAGAAAGAAATCATAACCTAAGTTTATTAAGTTGGTATTGCGTCATTGGTACGAGAGCCTCCATGCAGATACTTTGTACGTTTTGTCTGTTTTATAGAACAGTTTTTTGTGTTTATGGTAGAGAAAAAATGTCATGTAAGGAGCTACTGGAGGGTTTAGGTCTTGTGCACCTTATTCCCAAGTTCGAAGGTAAGTGATTAGACCTCATGTAAATTAATTTCAATTATTTGGTAGGTACCTATACTCATATTTTATAGATACCAAATAATATAAAAGTTAAATATTAATTAGTTTACTGTGGGAAAGGTACATTTATGATAGGTGACTCTTTGTTATTATTTAGAAGAAGCCATTACGCTTGAATTGCTGCTAGTCCTCGACTCGCAAAGTGTTTGCCAACTTATTTCTAAATTAGGAGAGAGATTTGCAGTCATCAAAAAATTACAGAGTTACGAGATAAGCAGGAGCAATTAATGATCTTTTATCAGCATCAAAAGGTAGTATTTTTGTTAAATGTTTTAAAGATGTAGTCAGAGTCGTTCGGCATCGGCCGTATGCGACAGTATTAAATTTCGGCCGATCACGGTGCTCTGACCACAGCCTAAGAGTATTTATTTAGTCCATTTTGTATTTTTATATTCCATAAAATAGGATATAATAAAATTGTTTAAAAATATTATATGCACATTTTATTTCTCATCAATCAAACAAAAAGTATGAAATTCAGGCTATACATTAGTTTACATTAGTCATATTCTTTAGTGGAAATGCAAACCGGTGCCAAATCAGCGGATTTTGAGATTTTGTTAGGTATTTATGTGGTCTGTACTTTTGTATCAATAAACGTTTTTTTGTTTACTTAAAATTATTCAAGTGCTAACAATTTTGATAAAACAAAAAAAAAGTAATACCCAAGTACATGTGACATGTAACATGTCTGCAGATCAAAACAAAATCTCGCAATCCGCTAATTTGGTACTTAGTTTTGCATTTTCACTCTAGAATTATGCCTTAACATTAAGGTCATCGTTATTACTGAAGTACATATTACCTAAAAATGCTGTTTGCTATCAGGCTCCAAGCAATAAATAATAAGACATTGTTTTAACAACAAATACATTTAATGTGTTTCAAAAATAAGCATATTCTATATGTTAAGGCAACCCGATGTTTATACAATATATACAATGGCCGCTGGTAACAGTAGTGTTCCGACAATCACCGAAAAAAAGTGTGCTAAATGCAAAAGGAAAGCAGTAAATGGTATCGAATGTGCAACATGTAAATCCCTAGTGCATATAAATTGTACAAACATATCCGATGACACTCCAATTAAGGATTATAAATGCATTTTATGTGAAGAGAAGAAAAGTGAGGTTATGTTAGTTACCACTGAAAAAACAGCTTATCAAGACGATGCCGAAACTCAAGGTAGACTACTAAATGAAACTTTAAAGGAAAATGAAATACTTTTAAGAGAAAATGAGCTCCTAAAAAAGTTAATTAAGGAGTTAGAGGAAAAACAAGATCTGCTGTATTTTAAAATTAACACTCTCGAGGGCTGCTCGGCTGTAAGCGCTGGGACTCTAGAAGGCTCATCAGTGATTATAGCCCAAAACAGTAAAAATAATAACATAAAACAAAAGAAGACTCAAAAACCAAATGAGAAAAATACAGTCGGTAATAATAATGTTGGGAACACTGCACCCAGTAGTTCAAATGTTCCACTGCAAAATGACAGTCAAGATAACCCTAAAAATTATCAAAACAGTGAATGGAAAACTGTCTCTCACAAAGGCAACAAAAATGGACAGAAAAACAAGAATGTTATAATTGGCACCTCTGAGGATACGAACCTAAAAGTCGCTGACAAATCTGCCTGGTTGTACGTGGGGCGACTCCATCAAGAAATGACCCCTACAGAACTGTGTGATCATCTTAAAAAATCCTTCCAAAATGAAAATTTTACTGTAGAAGAAATTAAAAAACATGAGAACAACCACAGTATTAATAAATCCTTTAAGGTAGGATTTAAATATTCCCTACTAAATGATGTTTTTAAGCAAGAAGTCTGGCCCAGACATAGTGTTGTTAAAAAATGGTATTTTTTTCGTAACCAAGGCACCAGTAGTCAGAAAGTCATCAACAAAAACTGAATTTAGCATATTTCATATTAATATACAGTCAATTACTAGTAAGATGAATAAATTAGAAGCGTTTCTTGCAGACAAAGACTTTGACGTAGTATGTTTAACAGAACACTGGCTACAAGAGCGTGATATTTCTCCATTCAAGGTAGGAAATCTTAACTTATGTTCATATTATGCTCGCAGAATAAACATGAGAGGTGGATCCCTTATTCTTGTCAAAGAAAATATTGAAATTCTTTCATGTAACGATATAAACAATTTTTCTGTTGAATTACACTGTGAATTATCCTGTGTAAAGTTGGTAAAACAAAATGTTTTTATACTTAGCCTATACAGGTCGCCAAATGGCTGTATAAAGAAATATATTGAAGTTTTAGATAAGGCAATAAACGATATTGGTAGTAAAAATAGAATCATAATTTGCGGGGACTTTAATGTTTATTTTAATAAAAAAGACAAAAACAGAGACTCCCTTTGTGACTTTGTTGGTACTCACGGTTTTGTCCAGACTATATTCGATAAAACTAGATATGAAAATTGTATAGATAATGTTTTTGTGAATTTTAACTATGGCCTAATTAAATCTCTGGTAGTAAAACCATACATTTCTGACCACCATGGTCAAATAGTTAAATTAAAATTTGAATACAAGTGTGCCAAAATAAACACTTTTCGAAAAATTAACCAAACAGGCCTTAACACATTCTATAATCTGGTTTCAAATGTCGACTGGACTTATCTAAATAGTCCTTTTATTGAACCAAACAATAAATTTAATAATTTTTTGAATACTCTTCAGGAGGCATATGAAAATTCATTTCCGGAGTGTACGCGCATAGAGTCTGGGAATAAAAGGACAAATAAAGCCTGGTTTACACCACATTTGAAAGATTTACGAGAGGAACTGACCTTTGTATGCGAGCTGTGTCAAAACCACGACTTAACTGAGTTTAGGAAATATCGAAACACTCTAAACACAAGGTATAAAAAAGAAATAAAAAAGGCAAAATTAAAATATAATGATAATCAAATAAAAAAATCGAATAATCCTTCAAAAACCACATGGCAAATAGTAAATAACCTAAGGAAAACCTCTGAAACTAAAAAATGCGAAATAAATGCAGAAGAAGCAAATATTTACTTTACTAATATAGCCGAAAATATTATTCAGTCCTTGCCAAAAGTTCAAAGCCCCCCTCCTAGACAAATAAACTGCGAAAATATAAAATTTTCTTTTAACCCAGCCACTTTTATAGAGGTTAGAGATATTGTTAACTCTTTGAAAAATTCAAATAGTAAAGATATTTTTGGTTTTTCTGTTGAAATTTTAAAAAGTATAAATAATCTTACTTATATTCCATTAACTAAGATTGTTAATGATTGTTTTCGGGCGGGTGTTTTCCCAGATAGACTTAAGGAGGCACTGGTTGTTCCGATACATAAAAAGGGCGACAGGGATGATATTGCGAACTACAGACCTATATCGCTGCTTCCCATTATTTCGAAAGTCTTTGAAAAAGTGGCAACTAACAGGATTAGTGAGTTTTTTGAAGTAAATAATCTCTTCACAAACAATCAGTTTGGGTTCAGGAAAAGAAGGAGTACTTCCAGGGCAATTCAGCATTTTATTCAAAGATGCCTGGATTGCTTTGAAAAAGGCGAATTTTTGGCTGTGGTTTTCTGTGACCTTAGTAAGGCCTTCGATTGTGTAGACCACAAGAAACTGATTGAAAAGTTAAAACGCTACAACTTTGATGAAAAAAGTATTAATTTTATAACTTCATACTTAAGTGGTGGCACGCAAGTAGTGAAAACTTCAACTGGATGTTCGTCGGCGAGGAGTGTAAGGGCAGGTGTCCCTCAGGGGTCTATTTTAGGTCCCCTCCTTTTTTTGATATATATCAATGACCTGGTAACTTCTGTAGAGGATGCCGAGTTTATATTCTTTGCCGATGACACTTCCATCTTGAGCTCGGGTAAAACTCTTCAGTCGGTTCTATCTGAAAGTGAGTCTGCACGGTCGGGTGCTGAGCAATGGTTCATAGAGAACCAATTGTGCCTGAATACGCAGAAAACACAAAATTTGGTATTTAGTCTTAAAAACACACAAGGTGTGAACGAGATTGAGTCAATTAAGTTCTTGGGAGTTACTCTCGACCCTAAGTTGTGTTGGGACAACCATATTGATTCACTGGCCTCTGCCTTACGTAAATCTATATTTGGCTTGCGTATTCTCAGTAATGATGTGTCTCAGTCTACACTGGTTATATTATATCACGCCCTATTTCACTCCAAAATTTCATACTGTCTATTGGCGTGGGGTCAGGGTGCAATGTGGAATAGAATTTTTGGTCTGCAAAGACGTGCATTGAGAATAATTGATAATCTCAGTTATAGAGCAAATTGCAAAAAAAGCTTTGTCAGACACAGGATTCTTACGTTTCCTTGCGCTTATATTCTTGAATGTCTTCTTTATGTTAAAGAAAACGAAAACAATTTTCGTAAACATACTGATAATCACGGGTATCAAACAAGGAAAGGCAATAATATAGTTCCAGTCCCTGTGAGACTAACAAGGTCACAAAAGAGTTATGAATTTACTGGTATTAAGCTGTTTAACAAACTACCAAATGAAGTCAAAATCCTACCTTTGAATCACTTCAAAAATACTATTAAAGGACTTTTACTGCAAGAAGCTTTCTATTCTATGGATGAGTTTCTGTGCTACAATTTTATTGAAAACTGTTTGTTGTAATATCTTGTATATTTATTTTAATTTGTATGTTTATTTATTCTGACGTGTTTAAACTTTATTGTATATTGTATAACGAATAAATCTTGAATCTTGAATCTTGAATCTTGAAATCTTGAATCTTTACTTAAAGTAATGATGCAGTTAAAAATAAGTCAACTAACTTTCAGTATTTCAAATCCACCATGCCTTTATATTAAATGCACGTTTCTTAGGCCATATCCGAACCCGTAACTACTTTACCACAAATGCATAGCGTTTATATTTAATGCTAAGTTTTTTCAGTGTACTTTTCTCTGTGTAGGTTATGATTTCTTTCTGATGCTTGCAAGGAATGTAAACAACGAATACTAACGTTAAAATAAATTCATTGTGCATTATAGTTTTATCCCTATATAATCTATAACAATAATAGCTTGATTATTTAATAAAATCCCTGAATTCATAACAATAAAGAAACAAGTACTTCCAATATAAATAAATGTTTATATATTTACCCTAAAGAAAATTGTCTTAATAATAAAGACACGCATGGTTACATTAAATTCATGTACCCAAATGCTCTACGAGTTAACTGTTAGGAAACACATATTATAATAATATTGAATGTTTCATTAAATTAATTACGGCTCTTAACTTTTATAGACAGTGTTTTAAATAATAAAAGGTTGGCCTCAAATTCACCTACAACTTAAAAATTAATACTGACTTTTTTCAGTGTATACATTAGTCAAAATAATTCTATAGTGGAAATGCCAAATCAGCGGATTTTGATATTTTGTTATTTATGTGGTCTGTACTTTTGTATCAATAAACATTTTTTTGTTTACTTAAAATTATTCAAGTGCTAATATAAATACAATTTTGATAAAACAAAACAAAAATTAATACCCATGTACATGTTGCAGATCAAAACAAAATCTCGCAATCCGCTAATTTGGTACTTAGTTTTGCATTTTCACTCTAGAATTATGCCTTAACATTAAGGTAATCGTTATTATTGAAGTACATATTACCTAAAAATGCTGTTTGCTATCAGGCTCCAAGCATTAAATAATAAGACATTGTTTTAACAACAAATACATTTAATGTGTTTCAAAAATAAGCCTATTCTAGATGTTAAGGCAACCCGATGTTTACTTAAAGTAATGATGCAGTTAAAAATAACTCAACTAACTTTCAGTATTTCAAATCCACCATGCATTTATATCAAATGCACGTTTCTTAGGCCATATCCGAACCCGTAACTACTTTACCACAAATGCATAGCGTTTATATTTAATGCTAAGTTTTTTCAGTGTATGTTATAGCTTACCTACGAACTACTACCTGAATTTCGACGCAAAATGAAAAACTAAAATATGCATCCAGATTATCTATAAACACAAACAATATCGATTTCCTGCATGCATACCTACAAAAACATAATATGTTATAATATATTATATCTTCAAACAAAATCTCCTTATATGAAAGACTACGTCGCACAAACTTTATATAGATTTTTACTTTTCCTAAAACGAACTTTAAATTACCCACCATAACTATTTCAATAACATCAATAAATTTAACCCTCGCAAAATTTCCTTAGCACTCAACATATCCAAAAATTATTTAAAAAACCTACCGATCTCTAATTTTAAAATCAACTTTACAGATGCTGACAAAATCAAAAATGGCAAACCGCGGCTGTTGTTGGAGGTGCAACTAAACTATTCACCACAATACTCCAATATTGCAGTATTTTTACTGGAAAAATTATTGCAATCCTATAGGATATAGGAAAATATTACAGCTAAACGCTCGGACACATAAACGGATTTGGAATCTACGTAAACAAATATTATATGCGACTCGTTTATTATTTTTTCTTTAATTTTATTATAGGTACTTGTCGCAAGATTTATTTATTATTTATTGATTTAAATGTCGTTTATTAAAATTGATACATATTATACTATTGGTCATGAATGTAATGTATAAAAAATTAATTTTGTAAAACAAATTAAACCAACAAGAAAAAATTGTATATACGAGGTGTGTTCAGAAAATATCGGGAATTTTCGTTTTTTGAAACAAATAATATTTATTCGTCTACATTAATGTACTAATACTCCCCATTGGATATTATGCACATGTGCCCAGGGCCGGGCCTAAGGAGGGTGTAGGGGGGGAGTCGCCCCCCCCCCCCCAAAGTCTTGGCAGTTGGTTCCAAATCCAAACACGGTTGGCAAAATCTATAGTATTTGGGTCGGTTGGTTGGGTATACCTACCCTACCAACCAACCCATCACAATAAATAAAATGAAATATAATTTTTAAACTTTACCTACATATTACAAAATTATAATTTTTAATCTATTGTAACCTCCTATAATCGTTACCGTCAAGAAAATTGTATTGGTCAACCTTATTTTTATTAAAGGACATTATATTTCACACAAGCGGCATGTACTAAGTCGGCACCGCCTCGCGGCTTTGTCTTTGGTTTTGGCGGCGTTTGACTCTTTTTACGCACCGAAAATTTCGGCGTCTTATTTTTCTAGATTATTAATTAGTTGAAGCTTATCTAAGCTAAGTAAAACTAGTGTCAATAAATAGGAATTATTTTTTTTTTAATATGGAAAACAAAGCTAGACCGGGGCGAGTTCTAGTAAAATGCTCATTATGTGGATCTGTGTTTAACAAGGACTACAAAAAAATGCACGAGGAAAATATTCACGGTGGAAATTTGGTTAAAATTAAAATTGTTACTGTTCCGGATAATCCACTTACATTGGCTGCAAATCAAAAAAATAGAGAACGAAAATCAATCCCATCGACTTCGAAAGAGCATGCTAATGATAGGTAAAGAGATTCTTTATCTACACTTTACAACACTTTACATTCATGATAAAACTACTATAAATTTTTACTATTACTACTAAAGTATCGATAAAAAAATAAGTTGTTTTTTTATCGTCTTCATCCCCCCAAAAAAGTGTGCCTCGGTACGGCCCTGCATGTGCCAGCTCTTCTTTCAATACTCGAATCATTCTAAAACTCGATCTTTGGGATAGCCTTTAGTTCTTTCAGCGATGCGCTTTTAATGTCATCTATAGATATGCTTGCAAAACGACGGCCCTTTAAGGTTCTCTTTATTTTTGGGAATAGGAAAAAGTCAGACAGAGGCATGTCTGGCGAATATGGAGGCTGGGGCATCATTACAGTATTGTTTTTGGCCAAAAATTTTGTTCAAAATTTAACAATTTTAGAACAAATTTTGCTGCCACGCGTTTCATACCCAAAACATTCGAAAAAATTTCATGGGATGAGCCAATCGATATACCAACATCATCAGCCACTTCTCTGATGGTTTATAACCATTTCTTCCACTTTTTCATGTTTTTATCGGTTGTTAATGTGCTTGAGCGTTCGGGGCGTTCGTCATCTTCAACGTCTTCACGGCCATCTTGGAAACTCTTATACCACTTATAAACTCTTGTTTTACTTATAGAAGACTCACTATAGGCGTTTGTTAACATTTCACAGAATTTATTTAATTTTTAAAGCAAAATTGGATACAAATTCTTTGATCCATTTTTTTAACGAACGAAAAATCGCCGAGCTCATAAAACACGTCTAACCTTAGCGGCTGCCACAGACAAAGTAAACAATGAAAATAACTAAAGTTTTTATCATACTTCGGGGGCATGTATACCAACATAATAAAGAAAATTTTATGACAACCGAACCCTCCGAACCCGCGAAATTTAACAATTCCTGTTATTTTCTGAACACACCTGGTATACCCTTATACTCCATACATATTTCAAAAGACATTGTATATTTATGATTATCTTTGTACCACATACTAGTATTTACCTAAATAAATCCTTATCACACACATGTTTGCCTTTATACAATCCCTGCAGGGTTTTAATTGTTTTAATTTACGCACTGCGAAGAAAGGGTAGTAGAGACGCTTTCACCCTTTATTCTTGTAACTTCGAGATTTGCGTTTCGTTAGAAATAATGAAGTGAAATCACAGAATATATATATTCTGTGGTGAAATGCGCCCGTAGTGCTCTCAGTGAGAGCCTCTCACCGCGGCGCAAGCGCTTTTAAACATCATAGCAGGTCCGGCAAAGATCATGCCTGTTGGAAAATCGCCTGGAGCACAATTTCTATGAAGTTTATAAAAGGACCTATCCAAAGGAACGTTATAATTTAATAATTTCAGAGATATTTAACAATTTCTCATTTTAGAAAAATACAAATAAATGGATATAATAATAATAATAATCACGTTTATTGCCCAACAGTACAAAACCAAAAAGGAAATTCAAATTAACAGATAAAGTTTATAATATTTTTTAAAGAAAAGTGGTAAATATCACACATTACACAAATACTATTCAAGTTGTTGCACATAACAAAAACTGGTGACTTAAATAGTAAATTAGTATTTGCTCTGGGAATAAAAAAAGTTTTCTGGTTTCGAGTATTACTAGGTACAATGAGCTTAATTTCTGATAAAAGATCACTACAGTCAATATTATTGTGCAACAAATTATATAAAAAAGTTACAGATAAAATTCTTCTACGCAATTCCAAAAGTTGGATATCGAACCTGGTCATAAATCCAGACAAATCCGAGCCTCTCTCGGGGTAGCGTCGATCTATTTTAAAAGACAAAAACTTCACAAATCTCCTTTGTACTGATTCGATACTATTCTTATAATGATTGTAATATGGATACCAGATAAGGCACCCATATTCTAGTCTAGATCTTACAAAAGAATAGTACAAGATTTTTAAACAATCAATGCTTGTGAAATTGTTTGACGTTCTAATAATAAAACCAAGCATTTTAAGAGAAGACTTTATCATTATTGATATATGATCATCAAAGGACAGTACCGAGTCAAAGACAACACCCAGATCCCTGATTGTATTAACCTGTTCAAGCACAGTGCCATTTATATTATAAAAAAAAATTAATTTTAGTTAGTTTTCGTGTGTACGTTAAAACTTTACATTTTGAAATATTTAATTTTAGACTATTTTGTTTACACCACAGGGACACAAATTCAAGATTGGATTGCAGACAAATACAATCTGATAAGGACTTAACTGATGTATAAATTTTAAGGTCATCTGCGAATAACAGTTTAAAGCATCCAATAAAATTAGGCAGGTCATTTATAAAAATTAAAAATAACAAAGGTCCCATATTAGACCCTTGTGGAACTCCTGAAGTAGCAACAAATGTATTAGATTGATAATTATTTATTTCAACAAATAGCACTCGATTTAATAGGTAGCTTTCAAACAGCTGCACAAGATCCTCATCAAAATTAAAGTTAAATAATTTTTTTAAAAGAACACCATGGTCTATTTGATTAAATGCTTTCTGGATGTCTGTGTATATTACATCGACTTGCCCGCGATTATCGAGTTCATCAGCTAGGTATTGTGCAATTATGGCCAAGTTCGACATAGTGGAACGCTTTTCTACAAATCCATGTTGATATTGGGAAAAAACATTACTTATTTGACAATAAATCTTTTTATATAAAATACATTCCAGTACTTTAATAAAATTACACAGAATAGATATTGGTCTGTAGTTTTTCATGTCACTTGGGTCACCACTTTTTAGTACAGGACATAGGTACTCTTGATATTTTCCATATTTTAGGAACTTTTTTACTTTTTAGTAATAATACTTAATGGTTTCGTTAAAACACTAGAGCAGTCTTTCACCAAAAAGCTGGGTATCTTATCGTAACCGGCAGTCATTTTATTGTTTAATTTCTTAATTGCAATAGATATATCTTTCTCAGAAATACATTTGACATTGACATTTTGTACAGTAGTTTTTAAGTTGTGATCATTTATATAATTGAATGTATTGGATTTAGTATATACACTGGCAAAGTAGTTACAAACATATTAACTATACTTTCAGGTGTATCATAGGCAATATTATCATGATGCATTATTCCTGGTATACGTGAAGTGCCTTTTTTATTCTGAACAAATTGCCAAAATTGTGATGAATCTGTTTTAATATTATTTTGAACATCCTGAAGATAGCTCTTATGTGCTTCCGTTATTAGTTGCTTAGTTTGCCTTCCTAAGTCAGAATATTTATTGTAGTAAATTTGACTATTTAGTTTTTTATATTTTTTATGATAATTATTTTTTTTACCAATCATTTTTATAATATCATTAGAATACCAACTAGGATATTTTCTTTTATTTTGAAATTTACTAATAGAAGGTACAAATTCATCCAACACACTATATAATTTGTTATACAAATAATCACAAGCAGAATCAACATCATAAATATTATTTAATAACACCCAATCAATAGATGCCAGTTTGTTATACAGAGCGGGAAAGTTTGTTTTTTTTTAAGTTATAGGACTTTTGTTCCAAGTTCCATACAAAGTTCTCAAAACTTGTTGGTAGTTTAATTTTTAACGATATATCTAAGGGAGGGTGGTATACATCTGGAGGTACAATAGGAAAAGGGTCCAAAACTATATCACAATCTAAATTTGTAAAAACTAAATCTAGTAGTCTATTATCGGAATTTAAAATATTATTAAACTGATGAAATTTACAAAAGTCAGAAAAATTATTTAACAAGTTTGACTTACTATCGTTGATGTCCAACACAAAATTAGTTACATTAAAATCACCCACAACAATTACATATTCATACTTAGAACACACAAACACTGCAAGAAATTTTGAAATTCAGCTACAGTTGCCTTGGAAATATAAACGGTAAAGATTATCAGGAATTTTCCATTTAAAAGTTTGAGTTTACATGCTGACACATCAATTGTATCCACTTTACTATCAAAATTGAGTTGAGTCGCCTTAAAACATGATCTAATTGCTGTTAAAACGCCACCACCCTTATCACAATCAAGTAACTCATACTTTCTGTCATTGCGAAAAGCTAAGTACTCTTCTGTAAATAATTCATTGTTGTTTAACCCATCGTAAAGCCAGGTTTCAGTGATACAGAGTATATCATATTCACAGTCTGAGACAGCATTATAAAATTCATTAACTTTTGTACGAAGACCTCTTACATTCTGATAGTAAATTCTTAATGTAGATAAAGGTTG